TCTTTAAGTGACTGACAATATTAAGTTTTCCACTGAGATTTTACTGTAATTCCTAAAAACTGATCTTTGTGTAGGTGGTTTCAGTGTTTAAGCTCCCAGATATAAGCAACAGTTGACCTAAGAAGATCTGAACATCTTGAAATCAAAGAAGTATCTGCTAAACCAAATAGTCAATAACCTTTTGTTCAACCTTTTCTCCTTCAATCACTCTGGGAGCACAGAAATCTGTTTACATTTGTTTTTTACATTTCACATAAGAAAACTGAGAACAGTTTTTTGCAACTGGTACATTCATCCAGCCAGATTTGTGGCAGCAGAATGATTTCCTGTGTCACCATGTCCACAGGGGCTCTGCCATTGCCAAGATTGTGGGAGCCAATGCAGCCAAGTATGACAAGTTTGACACCACAGTGAACATGTGGGTGTTTGAGGAGACGGTGAACGGTCGCAAGCTCACAGAAATCATCAACACAGACCATGAAAATGTGAAATATCTGCCCGGTCACAAGTTGCCTCCCAATGTGGTGAGTCTGACAGCACTCTTTCTCCCTGTAGGACTGTTTATTGAGTCCAGAAGATGGCATATACACCGTGTTTTATCTCTTTGCTGATCCCAGGTCTTACTCTGACTTCTCTCTTTCATTAGCTGGCTGTTCCAGACTTGGCTGAGTCTGTGAAAGGAGCTGACATCTTGATCTTCGTGGTCCCTCACCAGTTTATTGTGCGAGTGTGTGACACCATCAAAGATCACATAAAAAAGGATGTGATAGGAATGTCTCTTATCAAGGTAACATCATCCTAAGAATTTTTTTTTCAAAACACAGTGCGTTAAAGCCTGAGAAATATTTTACAAATAAGTGAGGGGATTTTAACATAACTGGTTACTTTAGGGTGTCGATGCCAGTCCAGAAGGTCTGAAGCTGATCTCAGAGGTTATCCGAGGGAAACTGGGTATCACCATGACAGTCCTCATGGGTGCAAACATTGCCAATGAGGTCGCTGATGAGAAGTTCTGTGAAACAACCATTGGTATGGAGTTTATTTCTTTGATAAATAATATTATTAAACGTAATATGGGAACAGATTGAGATTATTTGTGTGTAATTTCAGGGTGCAAGGACAAAGAACATGGGTTGTTGCTGAAGGAGCTGATGCAGACCACCAACTTCCGCGTGACTGTGGTGGAGGAGTCTGATGTTGTTGAGATCTGTGGCGCACTCAAGGTGTTTCATCCTCACCAAGCTAAATGCTTAAACATATCTATCTATCTATCTATCTATCTATCTATCTATCTATCTATCTATCTATCTATCTATCTATCTATCTATCTATCTATCTATCTATCTATCTAT